TCGACGATCGGGAGCAGGAACTTGTTTTTGATTGTGGCATCATTCAGGCGATGGTAGTCGACGCAGAACCTCCACGTCCCGTCCTTCTTCTTGACCAAGAGGACCGGAGCGGCGTACGGACTGACGCTGTGTGTGATGATGCCAGTGTCGAGCGTTTCCTTTACCTGGCACTCGATTTCATCCTTTTGTAGCGGCGAGTAGCGGTACGGGCGAGTATTGGCGGGGATTGCGCCTTCGACCAGGGTGACGGCGTGGTCGTACTGGCGATGGGGCGGCAGGCCTTGGGGAGTGGCGAAGACGTCGACGAATTCCTCCAGGAGATCGGCGAGGGGCGTCTGGCTAGCGCGCTTGCGCCGTGGTGGCGGTGCGCGCCCGCACATGTCCACCATGGCCATGGCCCAGACGTCGTTGCCCGCGATCATCTTGTGCAGCTCGTCGGGTTTGATCGCCTTAATGGTGGTGGGCGCCTTGGTGGGTGCACCCCGGAGCGTCACCTCTTCGCCGTCGTGGGTGAACTTGACCCACTTGTCTTGCCAGTGGCATGTCATGGGGTTGTGCTGGGCAAGCCAGTCCATGCCCAGAATGCCATCATACGTGCCAATGTCGAGCTCACGCATCGGTGTGGCGAACGTGTGCCCTTGCATCCACCACTTGAGCTCGGGAACGATGCGGTTGCAGGAGAGACGGTCATCGTTGGCGACGCGCACGTCCACCCGCGGCATGTCTTCTGTCTCCAGCCCAAGTCGATCGACGAAGGACTTGTTGACGAAGCTATGCGAGCTGCCCGAATCAAGGAGAAGCAGCATGACCTGGTTGCCCACCAGGGCGCGCAGGCGGATCATCGTCGCAGAGTCCGTGCTGTCCAGAGCGTGCGACGAGAGGAGACAGCATTCAGGAGCGTCCCCAGCAGGAGCGGGCGGCTGCGCGGCCGGTCCGGGGTCGTCGAGGAGTTGCAGAGCATGAATGGTGTCGTCGGAGAGCACCTCGCCGTGATCCCCGATGCTAATGGTGAGCAGCTGGGCGGGCTGAGCGCATCGGTGCTCCCACGAGTAGCGGTCACCGCACTTGAAACACAAATTGTTGGCGCGGTGATAGTCGCAAAGTTGTCGCTCGCACGCGTAGTCGTCTGTGGGGGCACGGTTGGGCGCGGACGCCCGTGGTTGTGGTGAGGCCGCCGCTGGTGTGATGCGTGGGCGCGCGCGTGTCGTGCTCAGCTCCTCCTCTTGAATGCGCGCCAACACGGATGCCCTGGTGATGCTCGAGGGCGCCTGGAGTCGAACGGGTGCGCGCAGTTCATCCTTCAGGCCCAGGATGAACTGGGTGACGAAGAATTTGGTGTTGATGGACGGGTCGAGTGCGAGCAAGTGGTACATCTGTTCGTCGAACGCCGCGCGGTAATAGACGACGGTGGCGGTCTACCGGAGCTGCAACAGCTTGTGCATGACCATCTCAAACTCATCGGCACCGAACTCCTCCAGTACCGCTGCTGTGAACGAATCCCAAGTAAGACCGCGACGTGTTTGACGAAATGCCTGCAGCCAGCCTGGCCTTTGATATACAGGGCCGCCGTGGTCACCCACTTGTGTGGCTCGACCTTGTAGAGCTCGAAGTACGCCAGACATCGATCCAGCCAGAGGTATGGCGCGGCACCATCAAAACGAGGAAAATCATGCTTCGGTGGCTTGTGGTAGTCGTTGCCGTGGTAGCCTGATGTAGGAGATGGAATGGCGGCGGTAGCGGCGAATCCACCCTGGGGCGCCACGGGAATCAACGGGGGACGGTGATCGCCCAGGCGCGCGTGGTTGGGCGCCGCGCGACCTGGTTCGTTCGCCACATGTGGCGCGTGTGGAGGTGGCGGGGGCGGCGGTGGTGGTTGTTGCGACGCGGCAGGCTGATGGAGCACGGTGGTGACCGAACCCGACGGCGACGCAGAGCCCTCCACCGTCTTGCGGGTCGCGTCGACGTCGGCCTGTGTGAGGTCGATCTGCCGGGCGAGTCCACGCACATCCTGCGAGATCTGCGCGTTGAAGGCCGCCTGGATCTCGATCTGCTTGTCGTGGATCGCCTTCTGCTCTTCCATCTTGGTGAGGAGGGACTCAAGCATCTTGGTGATGTTGCTAGTGCTCTCGTCCATGGCCGCCAACACCTGGCGCGTGGCCGCCGACGCTTTGGAGGGCGCCGTCGCCTTGCTCGGAGGAGATCGAACCCCGCGAATGATTTCGGGTGCGCTTGCCGGAGCAGCACACACCGGCGCGGTGGGTGTTACCGATCTGCAACCAGCGCGACGGGAAGAAAATTTTTGGGTGAAATTGGCTCTGATTACCAACTGTAACGAACCAGGGAGAGGGGATCGGGGTAGGTGAGGGAGAGCAGGGGAGGCGAGG